AGGCAAGGAAGTCCTTTTTCACAGTCTGGATCAAACAGCACCCTGAGTTCCTTTCTTGTTATCAAGCCAAATGTCAATCATCGGCTTCTAACTATTCATTCCTAGGGTGTGAAGAAGGAAGCTGACCCAGGAATTCAACTGGGGTTCCTGAGAAGACATATGCCATCAACATTCTTCACTCAACTGCAGTGAGGAAACTCTTTGTAATGCAGACATCAACAATGGAACCATCTGTCAGGATAGTGGCCACCCTAAGGTGTAGAAATGGATATTCCTTCCTGGGGCCATTAGGCAGCCCGCAGTGGGTAATAATAATAATTGTCATGTGTAGAGAGCCCTACAATTTACAAAGTGCTATTTCATTGTTTCATTTAATTATTGTAATAGCCCAGTGAGCAATGTCTCCAAAGGAATAATGGGCACCATTAGTGTTAACTACATATTTGAGAAGGAAAAAGAGAGGTCCAGTAGACATCTACTGAATCATCCTGAAATGTCCCCACCGTTGTTCTTCTCCTGTCTATGCATTCCAGTATTCTCAGTCTGATAATTAGTCTTGGAAAATGTTTTCTGCTCATACAGGGTTAATTGTTATCGCTGGCACTCTGCTGTAGTAGAGTTTTAGAAAAACTGTCTTCAAGTCCGCGAACAAGTGTGAGACTATTCCTGTCTTCCAGAGTTCAGTTCCACCACTTACCGGGGCAGAGGTCTTAGGTGTGGGCAAAAGGACACCAACGTTCTTGAACTTTTTCCTTTTGCCAAATCCCTCCTCACATAGGAGGACACTTCACAGAGTTAACTCAAATTCTGAAAATTAGTATGTATATTTTAAATCCAACCAAATCTGTCTTTGGCTATGGTCCCATGCTTCACAGTGTCCGGCCTGCCATATGCTGGGTTGTGTCACTGTTTAGCAAAAGGGGATGCTGAATGGATCTTGTTGTTTGGAACATTTTACTCACTTGGCCCTGGGCACTACACTGGCTTCCCATCTGCTTCTGAGTACAGCTCTTGGATCTGATTCTAATTCTGAAAGTAGGAGATGGTCTGAGACCCACCCTCACTGGGCTGTGACTCAACCTTATGTGTGTAGAGCTTCCTTCTTTTTGGGAGAGTTTTTATTCAATTCAGCTGAACTCAACTCAAGTCATTAGGCATTTTGAGCAGTATGAGAAGAATTATGTTCTAGTTGGTAGTGGATCAGAGTTCAGAGAATTCTATTACTGAAGCTATATGTCCTACATATTGTTTCTTCCCTTCAGATCTCTCTGCCCATTCACTTGCTTTGGCAATTATGGAATTCATCAATGACACCACACATTCTTGACACCACAGAAGCCCATTGGTTTGACCTTGAGTGGGGGTACCTTGAGTAGAGGTATCTTGAATGGATATAGGAAACTGATGTGGGGGTCTGGGGTATTTATTGTTCTAGATCCATCTCTGAGCTTGCTTTGGGTGGGTGAGTCCCTTCAGTAAAGATTCCTTCCAAGAGAGCCTTGATTAGAGCCCTTTTCTTCCAGTTTCTGATAGCATTCTTCTCCCTTACCCTTTGCTGCCCAGCAGTGGTAGCAATGTATTTAACTGTTACTAGCATTGAGACACTACATTATAGTCTGCGGTTTTGCTATACCCCATTCACATGGTCTCATTGTATATAAATTTTCCTTGAATTACCCTAATTGGATTGTGCCATCTGTTTTCTGTTGAGACTCTGACAGGGCGAGCCCCTTCATAGAACTAGTTAACCACAAATGTTGTGGGAGATTTAAAGCAGATAGTATCCCTTCCAGCTCAAAATTTACTTGGCAATATAGGGACTAAAAGATAAATCTCTTCTTTAGGAGCTTCAGGTCTCATTAAAGAGATAATCTATATATATCTGAAATTCAGAATAAAACTAAGCATCCAAATGATTAGGATACATAATAAACACACTAAGAATTTGGAAATGGGCAAGGTCACTGTGAACTGATGGTCAAAGGAAACAAATGGTTCTGCCAGTAAATTCTGCCCCAACACCAAAGAACCTTTATAAATGGTGGATTTCCTAATCTAGATGCAAACTGGATGGTGTATTTAAGGCTGTACCAAGCAGAAAGCCTATTTTGGAACTACTCCAGAGATCCCACACAATATTGGTCAACCTTAGATGAGGCCTTTTGGAAATGATTTACTCTTGATTTACTCAGCTACATCCCACAATAAAATATAAAACTTCTAGAATTTCTTGAATGGAAATGTTTTACACTTTTTTTAAAAAGTGTAGAAAAAGCAGATTAGGAGCTGAGAAGCTTGAGTGCTAGTTTTAATTAGTCTTCTAAAGCTCTGCCTTAAATGTTTTTTAGTCTGAAAAGAATTCTCTTTTATTTTATTTGTTATAGGCTACTTTTGTTTTTTTCCTTTGATTCATCTATACTAAAGACATATACACTGATATAAGAATAATATAATAATCACCATCATCTCTACCATACAAATTAAAAAATGAAATATTATCAATACAATTAAAGTCCATGGTATATGGACAATACATATATCCCATTTGGATACTACTTTTTTCACCACTAAAGATAATTCCTACTCCCTCTCTCCACCCACCCACCCAGCCCAACTCTCTCTTTTTACCCAGCCATGGCCAAGATAGACACATTGCTTTGCCAAATCCCTTTATGTAGGGAAGTCTCACTTTCACTGAAGATCTAGGGATATACTTTAGCCTCAAAGAATTTTAGCTTTATGTGAACACTGCTTGCTCAGGCCCAGGCCTTTCTGCTGTGTATCTGTAAAAACCCAAAGCCTTAGGGGTTTTAATCAGTAAATGTCCCCATGACATCCAAGGCTTCAGGCCTGGCTTACCCTATTGGATTCTGTCTGCTCTTTGGCTTGGTTTTGATCATTGGAGATTTTCCTTATTTTCTTACTAGTTCAGCTGTACATTTTTTAAATAAAATATTTGTAAAATATATCTTCATGTATTTCTCATGAAGAGAAATACATTTTTTAGAGGACTCTAAAAAATATTTGGTTTACCATATTCTGCACCAGTATAGAAGCAAGACATTCTACTGAGGATCAAAGACTACTCATACTGGAAGTTTGAGAACTCTTCTCCCATTTCATAGGCAAGATGACTATTGCCTAAGCTAATTATGAACATAGAAAAATTTTATACCAAGAAGCTAATTTGGCTAATCTAAATCTGCTATAATTCAAATACATTGAATATTAGCGATGAATAATGGAAAGTAAAATAATAGTCTCTTTAGCAGTGTTCTGCTGTAGAACTTTTCACTTAACATTCCTTAAATGCATGGGCCATTCTTTTAAAAAACATTTATTTGAGTTGATTAGAGGAGCAATTGTCTTATTTATTTTTACATCTCATGGTGCTTAGCACATTTTCTTTCATATTGCAGGTGTTCAAAATGTATTTGCTAATATGATTTGAATTGACTTTTTCAAGTTCAATGTGAAAACAAAATGGACCTCATGTTTTCTCTTGTTTTGCTTGTCCTGACACTGAAATTGAGCCAGTTCACAGCAATCTCTTCTGTACGTTCCAGAATTTGTGACTTTCCTGATCTAATATTGGACTCATTCAGTTGTGAAGTATTTGCTTGGCTTGTACAAAAATAAATACCTTTTAACTAGGGAGTTGTTTTTTAATTATTTGCAATCCTGTGTGGCTGAATGTTAACTCCCAAATTAAACATCTAACAAGTGTAATACAATAAATGGCAGGGTTTATTATGATTATGTTTGTTTTATTTCATCTCAGCCTGGGATCGTTAGAAATGACTGATTGGCATGGGAGATGATTCCATCTATCATTATGTCTTTTTTTTTTTTTTGAGGAGACCAAAAGTGAGAACATAGAGTGCACATTTGACCACAATTTAAACCCAATCTGAACAGTTCCTAACTGAAAACAACACAAAGAGTCTAGTACTCTTTCCAAAAAAAAATAATAATAAAAAAAAGAATTTCCTTAAGAAGTAACACAATTGGCTGAGATGTATGTGCTTGGTTCTGTGTGTATTCTACACAGTGCATGTCCAAGTCTGGAATCTTTGAGATAAGGCCTGGAGTCGCTAGACATCAGAAGTAAGGGCCAGCAAAAAGGAAGATAAATGAAGAAATAGAGATGTGAGGCATTGAGGCTGAAATAAGAAATGTCTGCTGCAGAGAGCAGACTGAGGAAGGTATGAGATTGGAAGAGGGTCATGGGTGGCAGAGGAGCTGAGATTTTCCCATTACTTCTTCAGCCTGCTTTGGGTGTCCTTTATTTCTCTTAAGGTAGTGATCCAACTCTGAAAAGAGACAGGAAGAATCAAGTAGGGGAGTAAGAAAGAGTATGTTAAGTCACCAAAAAAAAATGAGACTACTGAGTTTCTGAGAACTTATTGTAAAAACAAAAATAATAGGAGGAGGTTTCCTTCGGTATAATTTATATCAGAGGACGTTCAGAAATGTATGCTAATAGAGGGAGTATTTTTTTTAATGTTTTTATTTCTTTTTGAGAGAAAGAGAGAAAGAGTATGTGAGCAGGGGAGGTACAGAGAGACAGGGGGAGAGAAGATCCAAAGCGGGCTCTGAGCTGCAGCAGCAAACCCCGTACAAGGCTCCAGGGCTTGAACCCACGAACGGTGATGTCATGACCAAAACCAAAGTCAGTTGCTCAACCAACTGAGCCACCCAGGCACCCTGCTAATAGAGAGATTATATATCTTAACATATGCAGTATAACGAAATCATCTAAACAGTGTTTGAAGACTATGTCATAATGATAAGACTATGGAAAAACTTTGATGATATAACCTAATGTGTTTGGTCTGCACTTAACAAACTGTGTAAGCTATGAATGCGTATGGACACATACTAAAAAAATATAAGGGTAAATGAATGGCTTTCTCTAGGTTAGCTCTCTTAAGGTAGGAAAACTTCATATCTTCTCTATTTTTAAACTAACCCTTAATGTTGTCGCATTTGCTTTGTAGCCAATAAAAGCGCCGTGTGTATGCTGGAGTATCGAAAAGAAAGTGGGGTGAAGTGGCTTGGGAATATTTGCGTTGTGTGTAATATGTATGTACATTCTTGGATTTCGGAGACCAAATATCATGTAGCAGTAAAGTGATGCTATTCAGAATCTTCTTAGGTTTCATGCTGCTACCCATATCCTAGTGTTTAGTAACCAGTCTGCATGCGTGCACCAGATCTGCAGACACCTCTTATTATCTTAGTACCATCGTGTGTTTGGGGAGCAGGAGGAGGTATGCGGTTCTCTACATACCCAGATATCAAATCCTAAGGCTGGAGGAAGGGAAAGGGAGATTGGAAGAAGGACCAAAGGAATAAATAATCCCCGTGCCTCAAACACTTCTTTGATAAGAAAAGATCCAGCTGTTGGCTAAAAGTGGTGTTTTGTGAGGGCATCATAGAATCAAAGGCTTAAATATCAAGGAGATGTTCTCTCTGTAGCACAAACATGATTAAGGGCAATGTTGTTTTATTTCAGATTTTTATTATTCATAAAAGGAAAACCAATAGTGCCAGACATGCAAGAACAAAGCGAAATAGGCTTCAGAGGCCTCTGGCTCTTAACTCTAAGTGAATATAATAATTGGACTTTATTTGCCGTGTTTCATGTTTGTTTTCTTCTTAGAGGTAAAACACAATAGAGATTCTTTTCATTTGGGATAGTTGCATTCAGTGATAGGGTTTAGGTTTCATTTCTTCTGCCCCCTCCTTCTCCCCAGGCCATTCATTCTGTCTGCCAGTGTAACTAGACCTGTTCCCGTGCCTACAGACTCAGGAGTCTGCTAGTCTAGGGAAGTTCTGGTGGAGAAATCAGTGGAGGAGGTGGTGTGAAGAACACATCGCATCTTTTTTTTTCTTAAATAGTTTATTGTCAAGTTGGTTTCCATATAACACCCAGTACTCATCCCAACAAGTGCCCTCCTCCAGGCCCATCACCCATTTTCCCCTCTCTCCCACTCTCCATGAACCCTCAGTTTGTTCTCAGTATTTAAGAATCTCTTATAGTTTGCCTCCCTCCCTCTCCATAACTATTTTTCCCCTTCCCCTCCCCCATGGTCCTCCGTTAAGTTCCTCCTAATCCTCCTATATGTGCAAACATATGGTATCTGCCCTTCTCTGCCTGACTTATTTCGCTCAGCATAATACCCTCAAGTTCCATCCACGTTGCTACACATGGCCAGATTTCATTCTTTTTCATTGCCATGTACTATTCCATCATATAGATAAACCACATCTTCTTGATCCATTCATCCATTGATGGACACTTAGGCTCTTTCCATGTTTTGGCTATTGTGGAGAGTGCTGCTATGAACATTGGGGTACATGTGCCCCTATGCATCAGCACTCCTATATCCCTTGGGTAAATTCCTAGCAGTGCTATTGCTGGGTCATAGGGGAGTTCTATTGTTAATTTAAAAAAAATTTTTTTTATGTTTTATTTATTTCTGGGAGAGAGAGAGAGACAGCGTGAGCAGGGGAGGTTCAGAGTGAGAGGGAGTCACAGACTCTGAAACAGGCTCCAGGCTCTGAGCTGGCAGTTAGCACAGAGCCCGGTGCGGGGCTCGAATCCACGAACTGCGAGATCATGACCTAAACGAAAGTCAGATGCTTAACCGACTAAGCCACCCAGGCGCCCCAGTTCTATTGTTAATTTTTTGAGGAACCTCCACACTGTGGAGCTTAAATGACCAGCTCCTAAAGAGGAGTAGGGAATACTGGGCTGTGGATCTGGCAGCCACATCCCCTTCCCAACTTCTTTGCCCTTTCGATGCATGTTACCTGAATATGACTGAATTTCCTTAGTGGCTGCTCAGATTCGGGGACCTGTGCCAAGGATAAAGCCCCATGGGGAAGAGGTGGTCATGGAGAAAGCTGCCCTACTCTTGAGCCCCCACAGGTGGTCTGGGTTGAAGAAAAGCTAAGGGCTGCAGCTCTGGAAATCAGGGGGAACACCTACACTTGTAAGAATCTGGAATGACATGCGCATAGGAGCAGAGCCTTCCAATGATGGCATGCTCTGGCATTGTTGCATCCGGTGTGGGGAAGGAAACTCATGGTCCAGGGACTCAAAAAGAGAGAGGGCTTTGAAACACATTTCTCTCTCCATAGCACCCCTAGATGTAGTGGTAGTATTTTCACTGAGTGGTTCTACGAACTTATGACAGCCATAGTGTTTATAGCTTTTTGGTGCAATTCTCATTCATTCATTTATTCAGCCTATGCTTGGTGAGAAGTGACTGTGTCCTAGGCAGTTAGTGCTCAGAGTTAATAATGCAGAAATAATAGTTAATATTGACAATAAAAGCTAATATCTATTGAGTATTTTTTGTAATCAATGTTTAGTGCTTATCATTTACTTAAACTTTATAGGTAGATAGCATTATCAGTCCCATTTGCAGATTAGGATATTGAGGTTTAGAGAGATGGAAAGATATTATTTCATACAACAAATATTTGTTGAATATCTTTTATGTACCCATGGCCATGCCTTTTAATGGGCATACAGTAGTGAAAAAGACAGATTAGAGTCTCATTCTCATGGAATTAAATTCTAGTGAGGGGAGATAGACAGTAAGTAAATAAGCAGTTAAATGAAGTGAAACTTGAAGCTAGTGGTAAATACTCTGAAGGAAATAAAAGCTGATCATGTGACACGGACTGACAGGCAGCAGAGAAGGGTTGGATGAGTTATGCATTTCACATGCCGGAAGGTTTACTTAAAAAGATAGTGGAGTTGAGACTTAAACAAAAAGTTGCCAGCCCTGGAAACAACCAGGGGCAGAGCATTGCTAGAAGTGGGAATAGAGAGAACAAGGGCAGGGCTGGAGTAAACTGATATATTCAACAAGCAGAAAGAACCCTGGTGTACCTGGCATGCACCAGTAGAGAGAGAGTGCCCCATCCTGAGTGGCCATGGGACCCAGGGCTACATACTACTAAAGGCTCCTGAAAGTCCAGTCTCCTTCAATTTCCTGGAGCGTCTCTGGGGGGCAGTGAATGGGAAAAGAACCACACAGTCTTCTCTGCAAAACAGATTTTCTTGTTGCCTCTTCTATAAAGCATGTCTCTCTCAGGTCCAGAATGTCTGGTCCTTCTTGAGCTGTCCAGGCCCTTTAGAAGTCAAGGCAGAGCAGATTGCCAAAAGGAGCATGATTTTTTTTTTCCTGGTTCTCTCCCAGATTATTTGCCAACAGATATGTCCCTTCTGAGGTCCCCTCTAGGCTCTGCTAAAATAACCAAAGCCAAGATTATTGACATCTTTCTTCCTAATCTTTGCCACATTTCTTTCATAGACACCATCTCCCATCTTTCTTGTTGAGTCATCCTTGATTCATCCTTTTCCCTGAATCACAGCATCTGGCAGAGTGGTCATCATGAATCTGGAAATACAGTTAAAGAAATTACAGCTTGGTAGCCTCAAGGATAAGAGCAATGAGGCTTACTTGTGCCCAGATTTGCTCCTGCCTTTTCTTATGGGCCTGGGACTTCTGTTTGCTTATTAATTGAGATGTGCAGATTGATTTCCAGTGTTCATATGAGTAGTAATGAGCAAATGACTTCAGAAAATTTATCAAAATACATGTTTTATTATAAAAATTATCAATATAAATATTTTATTGATAAATGAAAAAGAGCAGATTTTCTTCCTGTGACACAGCAAAGTATTCAATCAATAACCCACAACATGAGCATTATAACATCTTTCCAAAGTTAGACAGCACACAAGCAGAAATGTATGCATCGGTGTGTGTGTGTGTGTGTGTGTGTGTGTGTGTGCACAGAAAAGGGAACTGAGGAATAGGGAGGCACAGAGAAATGGGGAGAGAAGGCAGTATAACAGTAGTTGTAGAGCAAGACAAGACCAGTGTTACCTTAGTACCTTGCTGTTCAATGTGTGGTCCTTGAAACAACATTGATAATACCTGGGAGCTTGTTAGAAATGCAGAATCTCTGGGGTGCCTAGATGGCTCAATTGACTAAGACTAAGCATCTGACTCTTGATTTTGGCTCAGGTCATGATCTTACTGTTCGTGGGTTTGAGCCCCGCATTGGGTTTTGTGCTGATAGTGCAGAGCCTGCTTAGGATTCTCTTTCTCTCCCTCTCTCTCTGCCCCTCGCTTGTTCTCTCTCAAAAATTAATAAATGAACATTAAAAAAAAAAAAAAGAAATGCAGAAGCTCTTGCCCCTTTCCAGACCAACATAATCAGATTTTAACAAGATACTTGAGTGATCCCTATGCATACTAACATTGAAAAAGTAGAGCCTTACCAAATGCATTTGTTTGGGGTTTTGTTCTCACCCTTTGGCTTTGATTAGTAATTATTCTGAAAGATCATGTTGAGCTCAGGACTGAACTACTGTTTTATCAAAAGGTATCATATATAGTTTATCACAGCATCTTTCATACTTTATGATACTGGCAGCTTTTGTTGCCTTTCTCCCCACAATGATCCAGACTCCACAAGGACAGAACCTAGATGAGCCTTCTATCTGTTTTATTTCCATATCCCTGACCCAATGCACGGCATACAATCGACACTCAGTAAATGTCGACCAAATGCTTGGCCTGACAGAGCAGAAGATGAAGCATAAGAAACAGAGGGAACCCACTTTCCCTTTTTTGACTTAGTAAGTGCTAATTATTTTAATCTCTCCAACCCCCCACCCCACCTCTTCACAGCCATACATAGAACTTTCATACTGTCTTGCACACAATAGGTGCTTGATTTATTTAATACATTAAATAAGAGCTAGACAAATCTTGTCCTCATAACTAATTCATGCCACACAGAGGCTTCTTTAGTGGTGATGGAGACAATGAATAAAATGTACCTGTCTGCATGGGTTTAATTTTAGCCTAAAAGAGCTACTGATTACCTTGAGAACTTGTTAGAACAGTTGAAATAAATGTGGAAGTAAAATTCAAGAGATTAGTAGAAATAAGTGCCAAAGCCACATATTCTGTTGGGCTTTAAATAAACTCTAAAGGAATGCCTCGTGTGTGACAGTTTTCAGTTGCAGTGTGTATTTAGACAGCTTCAAAGTAGAATGGCACAATAATTGTATGAGAGATGTGTTATAGGTGCGGGGAAATGTGTGTATTACAGATGAAGCAGGGAGATTCAGAGTGTTTGGTTTCTACCTCTGAACATCACTCTGCCTATATGGTTTCCACTAGGGTAGGCTTTTCCAATCTTGTTGCTACTGACATTTTGGGCTGGTTGATTCTGTGTAGTGGGAGCAGTTTGTGCATGTAGTTGTAGGATGTAGAGCAGCATTCCTGGTCTTCCTCCCATTAGATGCCAGTACCAGTCCCCTTCAGTTGTAACAATGCAGAGTATTTCCACATGATGTCAAATATCTCCTCGGTCAAAATCACCACTAGTTAAGTACGAGTCACACTTAGAAAAGCCGATGGGCCTATTGCTCTAGGAAAGCACATAGGTCTATTGCTCTTTTGAATTATCTCACAAAAGAGTTCAGCTGATCTACTGCTGATTACTGCTGATCTACTGATTTTTTTTAAGACTTTATATTTACAACATAGATTCTGCCTCGTCTCAGGCCCTCACTGATGCTGTGTTGCTGAGCTTAGAAGGTTGTAATGCTGTCAGTGTCATCACCTTAGCAGCACAGTATAATGGCAGACCCCCCGACCATGATTCCATTTGCCTCTGCTGAGAAGAAAGGCCAAGAGAGATGCCGTGGAAAGAGAGAATGCATGGCTGAGCTGGCTTAGACAGTAATTTCAAACTTCTCTATTTCTTGGGGTCTCTTTTAATTATTTTTCTGGCAGCCCAATTGGTAGCCCTTACAAAGAAATTCCTATGAGAAGAAGGTTTAATAGTTTCACCCAGGGTGGCAATTAGAACAAGCTGTCTTTTCTGCCCCTTGCCTGGAACACCGCTGCTCTTAAACTATTCACTTGCCTGGAACACCGCTGCTCTTAAACTATTCACTGTCGGCTCATCTATTGGTTTAAGGAAATAGCCCAGCAATTTTAAAGATATTGTGATGAATATTGAGCTTCTGTACTCCTGGGAAGCATCAGTGTAATAGGGCTTCTCAAATTTGGCATTGGGGATCCTGGATCAAAAGACTTAGTTAAAGAAACCAGCTTCCTTTACTTCAGCTTACTATCTCTGAAGTGTGCTGGGTGAGAAGGTGTTATGCAGTATGAAAGATACAGATTTAGCCAAAGAGAAATCACAGCACAACTATTTTGATTACTGTTTCACAAAAGGATTCATCTCCATGTTCTGCAAGAGATGTCATGCTTGTTACTTGAAAATATATTTTCTATACATTTATTATGTCAAGTAAAGTATACACATTACAAGTGTGTAGGTTTTAATTATCTGTTCAATCCTAAAGTGTTTTGGTTTCTGATACATATTGTATATTATCTCTGATGATGCAAAATCTTTTGTATTGTCTACTAAGACCTGATCATGTGCTGGAGGATGAAGGCAAGATTATGTGCCAGGAGTAAGGAGTGATCCCTATTCTTCAAGGTTTGGTCTTTGTCTCTAAGAAAAAAAATCCCAATAACTGATCAGTTTAATTAATGGGGTAAACAAAAATTAATGAGATTAATTATAAGTTGTCAAGTAAGAACCAACTAATTAAAAATTTTTTTTTTCTGTCAGATTGAGCTTCATGTATTTACAATGGAGAGGACTGAGTGACTTCCAAACCAAGTAAAAGTGACTTAAGAATTAATACCGTTTTCATACTCTGTGTATTTTGAAACTCCTCCATTACAGTTAAAAGCCAACAGTGGGTTTTATTTAAATACTCTCAGCGATGGGGCAGTACAGATCCACCTGCAGAGCAGATCATGTGCTGATGTTAGAGTCCCATATACTATCAGTCAGATTTGCAGCCTTTCAAAGCCAGGGTCCATACAAAAGGTTGTGTTTAGTGATTTAGTACAAGGTAACAAGGAATGGAGCTGTCTAATTAGTAGCCTGGAGATAGCATTGAAGGCTATTAAAGGAATATCAATAAATGGACAGACTCAGCAGATAACCAGGTTCTAGTTACCATTCTAGCATATAATGATGGGATTTCAGTCTCCCAGGGGTGGCAGGAGGTTATAAGAGCAAATACTTCCCCCAGAAGAGTTGGGTATGAGATATGTTATGGAGTCAAAATTCCTGTTAATGAAAATGGGGCAGAAAGCAAGAGGAACTTGTTGATGAAGTCCAGTGTATTTAGCTGGAAATCAATTATATCTTCTGAGATTAAATCCATTCTAGAGGCTAACACAGGGTAAAACCTTTGAGAAGGGTGGAGTGGTGGCAGCTGGGATGAAGGAAATAATACCTGAAAGCTATTTCAGTGGTCCCAACAGGAAACCAGGCCCCTGCCAGTGGCAGAAAAAAGAAGAGGGTGTATCTGAGAGAGAATTTGAAGGTCAATACAATGGGACTTTAAGACCAATTGAATGTGGAGTTTGAGAGTCAGGTAAGAACTGAAGATGAATCCAAGGATGGGACAGAAGGATCATAAGATAATTAAGTGTGTTAGGGGCACATGAAAAGGGCGAAGGATGCTAAGGTTCATCTGGGACATTTTAAGTGTAAGGTTCCCATGGACTGATGAAATTTAGTTGCCTGGTAGGCAGACAGGAAGTCTGGAATGCAGGTCAGATTAGATAGTATCAACTCATGATGCATCTATTAGAGGCATGAGACCAAAGAAGTGGAGAAGATCAAGCAAGTAAAAAGAATGGAGCCACTTGAAGTCTTGAATGGTGCTCTGGATAACACCCTCATTTAGAAGCTGGAAGAACAAGAAGAGGTTGTGAAGGAGACAAAAACAACAATCACAGAGAGTGTAGAAAACTAGCAAAGAGCTATGTCCCAAAAGCCAAAGGAAGAACATATTTCAAGGAGGGAGCATACCAGTATCAAATGCTCCAGAAAGGCCAAGCAGGATTCATTCATTTGCTTAATCAGCAACATTAACTAAATGTCTGTCGTGTTCTGCGTGAGGGCTTAGGAGTGAAATCACAGAAGTGGCTCATGGGTTTTCTTTAGTGGTCATCAGTGATATTTCACAGAGGATCGATATGAGTTGCAATAGTGACAGGCTGATTACAGTGGATGAGAGATGGAACCAAAGTTAGGGACAGAGAACCAGGCTGTGTAGACTAATTTCCTGAGAAATTTGAGAGGAAATGGTGAAGAAAAATTGCCTAATCTGTAACAGATGATTATTAGAAGTAATTATGTCACCTTTGCAGCATATATCCCATATGAATGATTTTGACCCATTGACCTCTCACAGTTTTATATTAATAAAACCAGGTGCAGTAGTGGACATGGAATTATAAGGCATAGGTTGTTTTTTTTTCTTTTTAGGAAGTTTACAATCTGCTTATAGTGTGTGCATATATATGTCTATATAGGGAGGAGGGTTTGTGGGTGGAGAGCCAGAAGCAAAGAGAACATTTAATGAATGTGTGTTCATAATAACATCTTTTTTTTTTTTAATTTTTTTAATGTTTTATTTCTAGGAGAGAGAGAGACAGCGTGAGCAGGGGAGGGTCAGAGAGAGAGGGAGACACAGACTGAAACAGGCTCCAGGCTCTGAGCTGGCAGTCAGCACAGAGCCCGACGCGGGGCTCGAACCCACGGAACCGTGAGATCATGACCTAAGCGAAAGTCGGATGCTTAACCGACTAAGCCACCCAGGCGCCCCTGTTCATAATAACATCTAATAACAATTACTGGTTGCTGAGGGGGTGGGTACAGACCAGAGGGACTGTGCATTCAGGAGGAAGGAAGACCACCATGAGTGAAAACAGTTTCGCTACAGAGAAGGGAATACTTATGGGCCATAAAAGATTGGGATTAAGAATTTCATGAAAGGGAAGACAAGAGGGTAAACTGCACACCAGAATTCCATCTCTTCCAATGGAACGTAGAGATTGTGCTACCTGCTCATCCCCACCCTTGAATGAGGCCTCAAAAACTAAATCTACCCTTTCAGGTCCTCACCCAGCAATCTTCTTTTGGTTCACCAGTGAAAGGCACATATGCTTCCCCATTCCTGTGGTGTTGCCCTATTATCATAAAAAGTATCAAGATATCAAATATGCAGGGAGGCTGTTACCAGATAGCAGGAGTCTTGAAAACCTCAGCACTGTGCCAAACAACATGAATAAAATAGGCAGGGAGATGGAAGCATGGTATGCAGTACATAAACTTGCAAGCTCAGTGCTCTGCGGTGCAAGGAGAGGTCTGGTTGTTATTTTGATAGAGTCAGAGCCTGAATTCTAAGGTCAGGCTATAGATATTGGAATTGCACACTCGTGGGCATGTCAAACCTTAGCCTACTGGGCCTTTTGTTCTGAAGGTTCACAGCTGAAATTGACTTGATACATTCTCTTTGATGTTTATTAAACCCATAATTTTGTAGAATTTGAAATGAAACTGTGGCGAAATCAAGAGACCAACCAGAAGTTCATCCCAAAGAACTTTTATAGATAACACTGGATAGATACTGAATGAAAGAAGGTTAATATTTAGTGTAAGTACATGGCAGAATGTTGCTGTTCAAAGCAACAAGACGGGGTAAATTTGATCATTTAATATTTGCTAAAACCTTAGACAAATGGCAGATAAGAATCTTGTTTTCAAAAAAATATTTACAAACCTAAATTCTACAATTTAAATCATGTCCCATGTGAGCTTATACTGTCATCCCAATGTGTATTCATCTAGGTAGTGTTTCCTTAGTCACAAGTGAATCTATGTTTTGTGATAGGTATACCACTGCAGGAAACCAACAGTAATTTAAGTTTTATAGTCCTTTTATGGGACTTTTGTAAATATGGTTTCATTTACTCTTTGTAAGAATCCTGTGAAGTAAGTGTGAAGAATGTTTTAATTTAGCAAATTGGTAAACCCAAAGCCAGAATGATAAACAATCTGATGATCCTCCAGTGTTAACATGTGAGTTAGCAGTTGAGCATGAATTTGAATCGAGTCACTCAACACCCACTTCAGTGCTGCTTTCATTACCTAATTTACTTTATCTGAACACCAGACTGCCAGTCAAAGTGTTGGCCATCACCTGAGGCTGAGGCTCCTCTCACAAGCTCGATGCTTGTTGGCAGAATCTAGTTCCTTGTGTTGTGGGACTGTGTCCTCAAGCTCCTAGAGGCTGCCCAACATTCACGGGGTTGGGAGGAAAACTTTTCCTCTCCTAGTTTGGGTCCTGTGATTGGTAGTCTGCAAAGCAATTGATGATAGATTAATAGGAGAAAAGACAAGGTTTATCTATGCATACACAGTGTACATGTGGGATCACCCAGAGATGAGTAACTTACTGGATAACCAGAAAGGAAAGGCTTGTATATTAAAGTTAGTCAAAAGAAGGCAAGTAGGACTTCAGTGAGAGGGTATGAAAGGTTATGTTGGGTTTTTTTTACTCTAATGACCAGCTGAATTTACAGTCTTTTCCCAATCAAGAAAGTCCCTGGGAGAGAGGTCAATGGCAGCTGTATTTTCAGAAGCTCTGCTTAAGTTTAGATAAAATGTTTCTTTTTGTGGCTGCTGATTGTTCAGATGCTTTCAAATTAAAGCAATTTTCATAGCACTTTGGTATTAATCCCTTCAACTGCCATCTGGCCCTCTCTACAACATTGCATTTCACTTTCTTAAAATCGACAGGAGACCGATTGCTGCTGGTTGTCTCTGTTTTATGGGCTTACCTGCTTAGGTTAGGCCCACCCAGGATAATCTCTGTTTGGTTAACTCAAAGCCAACCAATTAGAGACCTTAATTACAAATGGTGTGTGTGTATGTGTGTGATTTCCTTTCTGGATCCTGGAACATAATCATAAGAATCACATCCAATCATAAGCACCACATTCGAGGAGAGGGGATTACACAAGGCATCTGTCCTCAGCGGGTGGATGTTTTGGGGGCCATCCTAGAATTTTTCCTCCACAGCACACAACAGAATGAAGTGAAGTTCAGTGCCATCAGAGGCCATAAAATGAGATTATCATACATATTCTTTACATTGTTCAGTTAATAAAATGGATGCTGCATGCTAGTTGGTTAGACCAGATGACATCTAAGATCATCCACTACAGTATTCAGAATGGCATAACTCCATTTGTTATGTCTTGGCATTCAAAAAGACCTTTTAAACCAACTTTCTTTCATTCTTTCTCTTACCTGATGCATAGTTTTAATGCATAGAAAGTTGGACATGAACATTAAAAAATTTTAATGTTTATTTATTTTTGAGAGAGAGAGAGAAAGAGAGAGAGAGAGAGTACAAGCAGGGAAGGGGCAGAGAAAAAGGGAGACACAGAATCTGAAGCAGGCTCCAGGCTCTGAGCTGTCAACACAGAGCTGGATGTGGGGCTCAAACTTGTAAACCACGAGATTATGACCTGAGCCTAAGTCAGATGCTTAACTGACTGAGCCACCCAGGCACCCTGCACATGAACATTTGTAATTAATTTCTCTTCATTTAAATTTTGACTTCTTATTTATCTATTTATTGAGTATAGTTGACATACAACGTTACATTGGCATCAGGTGTACAACATAGTAGTTCAACTCGATTTGTTATACTATGCTTACCATAAATGTAGTAAAATTCCAAATTCTTATACTGAGCAGTTGAGTCTTGAGACCTCAAATCCTCTCACCAACACAAAAGAGTTGTTATAGCCTATATATCTTAACTGTTGCTGTGTAATAAATTATCCCAAAACTTACTCACTTAAAACAACACATAGTTTCTATGGGCCAGGTCTTTCATAAAGCTACAAATCAAGATCCCTCTGAGGTAGAGTGTGCTTCTAAGCACACTCAATGACTGTTGACAGGATTCAAATCCTTGAGGGCTGTTAGACTGAAGGCCTTATTTCCTAGTTTGCAATCAGCTGGAAGCCATTCCCAGTTCTTTATCACATAGGCCTCTGCAACATGGCAGTATGCCTCATCAAAGCCAGCGTGAGAGAAAGTAGCAAGATGGAAGAAGTCACAATCTTTGTAACCTAATCTCAGAAGTGGTATCCCATCATATTTGTGTTACTTAATTCATTAGAAACAAGTCACTAGATTGGGCCCATACTGGGGAATTAGGGAGCAAGGAAGAATGCCAGGAAGTCAGAGATTTGGGCAGTCAATTTCAGAAGCATGCCTACTGCCTAAATGAAGGAATGATGTGGCAGACTGAGAAGAAACTAATAAGAGTGCTTATTTCAAAGATCCGTGAAGAAAGAAAAAGACCTCTTCCAATCGGTTCATTTCTTCAGAGCCAAAGCAAATGAATTTGATTGTTGTGGGTTCATAATGGGAATGGCCAGCTCTTCTCTGAGTACAGAATGAAAATCAAACCCAAATTTAGAGTCTAAGTTCAGAATCAGAAGAGCAACATTAAGTATCAGGTCCAAAGTATGAGTTTGGGGCTGTAGACAAGAGAAAGATAAGAGGTGAGGAGCCCAGAAATACTGACCCAGTGTAACAGCAAAATACTAGACCAGATATGGCAGAAAAGTTATGGATGTAGCCAAGAACAGAGAAATAATGCTTTTCACTGTCTTGCTTGTGGGCAGGGCTCTCTGGTTTTTAAAGAACCAAGGCTCAGCCAGACTTTTCCTCTGTTACCGAAAGGTCATAAAATACCATTGTATTGTTTTAAGTTCAGACAAATAGAAAACAAAGTGGCTTAGTGAAAATGTTGAAATTGGGGAGGAAGTACTATTCCAAATGAAATCAAAAGCCATGAAGATATTCCTTTTTTGGCTAACATTAGATTATGTATTCTCTCACCCCCCACGCAAAGATAGTGTTTTGTATTGATGATTTAATTCTCCTCTCCAAGTAATGTTTGCCTCTGGCACATCATTCTGCACCAAATGCTGTATGTGTACCTCACAATCACCTAGCTTAGGACAAAAAGTGGTGGGGTTGCTTCTTCTGTTAGCTGCTTTTCATTTTTATTCTTAACATGCCCTTATCTTGATCTCCTAACACATTTCCCTGAAATGTCAACAAATAATTTAATCTAGAGACTAGTGGCCTTTTATAGGATTTTCAAAATTGGTGAATTTTTTTCTGATTTTTTTTTTTCTAATTTGCCAGATAGCCACATGACAGAATAATGAAACTAATGTCATATTGAAAGCAAAGCATTTCCACTCATTTCTGGAAAAAGAAACCTAGTCCGATTTAAATTCCCTTTCTGCTTGCTTCCAAATATGTCTATCACAATATTATAGAAGTAACCAATTATTTTCATCTACCTTCTTTTCACATGCTGGGAAATTAACTTTAAAAATTTTTCAAATTTCATAAATTAACCTTCATTTTGAGCATTTAGTTATTCACGTATTCCTATTTTAATCCTAGATCATTTGATTATAGCTTTTCTTAAACTCACCTTTTTATTTCTTCCTTTAATCATATTCTCTCTGTCTGTTGAGCCACAGTACAGGTCGTTTAGCCTTTTCCATTTATATAGCAATTGGCTGAATAGCAACTAATAAATCGATATGCAGCAATTTCAATCCCTGTTAAAATTTGCCAGTGCCAGATCCAAACTGCCAGTTTTGCTTATTTAGAAAGTGCTGACATTTTCTTCCCATTCTATGTACTAAAGATAAATAGATCAGACAGTTCCAGATTAAGTTAAACATGGCATTTCTGTATTTTGGACTTACCTTTCATTGTTTAAAAAAATCTAATCTGAGGAGTCAGCTGTTCCAAATCTTAAAGGTTATCATTTGTACAGTATTAAAGTATTCTTCAAAATATTTTCTCTAACAACTTACCAAGGTGTCTGAAGTTCATACCCTTGTGATTCCTGTGGGCTGTTTAATGCTCAATATGGATAGATGTATACATGGACATATAGATATAGATTAACATAGAAATGGAATATAGACAAAGATAAATATTGCACCACTGAAAAATTGCTTCAAATAGCTTATCAGGCAAAGGCCCTGAGGTGATGGATGATAAATATAAAGGGAATGTGTGTGTGTGTGTGTGTGTGTGTGTGTGTGTGTGTGTGTGTTGGGTGGGAGAAGTGTATGAAGTAGAACAAGGTGTGTCTGTTTTGGTTTCAAGAGAAGTAAATCAAAAGTGGGGCAACAAAGTCTAAGGAAGCCTGAGTAATAGATGGGGAATGATGACATCTGCACTTTCTAATGTGTGAAAAATTCAGGAAATCTTAGTTTCACTTTACCTGTTCAGTAGGTCATGCCCAAGAATTAAAGAAGGCTTTAGAAAGTAAAATTAAGGGGTTCCTGTGTTGCTCAGTCCATTGAGAGTCCAACTTTGGTTCAGGTCATGATCTCATGGTTGGTGAGTTCAAGAGCCCCACATTGGGCTCTCTGCTTTCAGCACGAGCAGCTTTGAATCCTCTGTATCCCTCACTCTGCCCTCCCCCACTTACACACACATGTGTACTCCCTCTCCCTCAAAAATAAACAAGCATTAAAAAAATTAAAACTTGAAATAATTTTTCTTTATTAGATCCAATAATATTTTAAATGGCACTCTATACTTACAGGCAAATCATGCACATGTTCATTGCTACATTTGTGGGGTTTTGTATTTGTAATAGACAAAAAATAATAATAATTAAACTAAATGATAATTATTAAATAAATAATTATAAATTAAATAATTAATAATAATTAAAGGTTGTCCTTGTTCTTCCTAGGAAGAAATTCTTCCAAACTTGGAAGCTAACTCCAAAGGGAGCTTTCACTGTTGATAGGAAATATTTATGAATAAAATAGCTATTAGTTATTTTTTTTAATGCATATGAGCTTTTTTTTAAAATATTTTTATTTCTAGGAGAGAGAGAGAGACAGTGTGAGCAGGGGAGGGTCAGAGAGAGAGGAAGACACAGAGTCTGAAATAGGCTCCAGGCTCTGAGCTGGCAGTCAGCACAGAGCCCGACGCGGGGCTCGAACCCACGAACCGTGAGATCATGACCTAAGCGAAAGTCAGACGCTTAACCGACTAAGTCACCCAGGCGCCCCTCATATGAGCTTTTTTAAATGTTTATTTATTTTTGAGAGAGAGAGCAAGCATGAGCAGGGGAGGGGCAGAGAGAGACAGAGACACAGAATCCAAAGCAGGCTCCAGGCTCTGAGCTGTCAGCACTGAGCCCAACGCAGGGCTCGAACTCACAAACCAGGAGATCATGACCTGAGCTGAACTCGGACACTTAACTAACTGAGCCACTCAGACTCCCCTATTAGTTAATTTTTCTAAATTGTTTATTCAATATGAGAAAAGTACTTGGCTTCATCCAAGTTCACCATTGCTCAAATGAATGGTCTGGAATGTTGTTAAATATTATCAACATTGTACTGTCTTCTGGCTTCTTTCTCCCTTACCCTAACCCTGTGACCTCTTGTACTTTCCAACGTGTATGAGGTAGTAGTTCATATGTTGATCATCTGTCCATGAAAAGGGCTTCTTTATTCATTGACACAAGCTCTTAACCATTAAAATCAACTCAAAATGAATGGAAAGGGCAAGATCATAGACAACGTATTTAGAAACCAGAGAATCCCCGTAAATTCCACTTTATAAGTGGTCACTTATGCCACCTCTATGGGAAGCCAATCCTAATGAAAACATTAAATTCTTTGTTGACAGAAGTAGAAGGTGATCATTTGTACTTAAAATATTGACCAGAAGGGATTTTTAAATCATTTTACAATCAGTTTGGTCTGTTGAAGTGCTGTGTGTACTGTATAGCCTTTAAAAGGACCTTCCTAAAACATGAGACTGAACAAATATTACTTATTATTTCCTTTGGTTCATTTGAGGGAGAAATATGGACATTATAAGAGGGAACGAAGTTGGGAAGAACAAAAGACTGAACTATAACCACATTATGCCTTGTTATTCCTTCTAGGATCTCATGATTCCTTCAGCTTCTACATTGATGAAGCCTCTCCAGTTGGGCCTGAACAGCCAGAAACCGTCCAGAATTTTGTCTCTGTGTTTGGAACTGTAGCCAAAAAGCTGATGCGGAAATGGTTAGCCACTCAAACGATGAACTTTACTGGCCAGCTAGGAGCTGGGATCCGTTATTTTGATCTCCGAATCTCCACCAAGCCCAGGGACCCCGACAATGAACTCTACTTTGCTCATGGTTTGTTCAGTGCCAAAGTCAATGAAGGCCTTGAGGAGATTAATGCATTCCTCACAGATCACCATAAGGAGGTAGTATTCTTGGACTTCAACCATTTTTATGGGATGCAGAAATATCACCATGAAAAACTGGTCCAGATGCTGAAAGATATCTATGGAAACAAGATGTGCCCAGCGATTTTTGCCCAGGAAGTTAGTCTAAAGTACCTGTGGGAGAAAGACTATCAAGTGCTTGTCTTCTACCATAGTCCAGTGGCTCTGGAAGTGCCCTTTCTCTGGCCTGGGCAGATGATGCCAGCACCCTGGGCCAACACCACAGACCCGGAAAAACTGATCCAGTTTCTTCAGGCGTCCATCACTGAGAGAAGAAAGAAGGGCTCGTTTTTTATATCTCAGGTGGTACTGACCCCTAAAGCTAGCACTGTGGTCAAAGGAGTGGCCAGTGGCCTCAGAGAAACGATCACAGAAAGGTAAGTGTCTTAAGGTATCATAGAAAAACTCTTAAGGAATTTAACCCAAATTCATAGAGCTAGTAATGGACAGAGCTAAAACTTATACTTACATGTATTAATATCCTAGGGCTGCCACACATCATACCACAAACTGGGTGGCTTAAAACAGAGGAAACTTACTATCTCTCAGTTGCAGAGGCTAGACCTCTGACATCAGGGTTTCAGCAAGGTCAACTCCATCTGATGGCTTTGAGGGGGAATCTTTTCCATGCCTCCTCGCTAACTTCTGGTGATGGTTGACAAGCCAATTTCTTGGCTTATAGATACACCGTTCCAATACCTGCCTCCATCTTCACATGGTATTCTCCCCATGTATGTTTGTTTTCACTTCTTATAAGGACACCAGTCATATTGGATTAGAATCTACCCTAATTATATCATATTAATTATGTCTGCAAACACCCTATTTCCAGATGAGGCACAGTTATGAATACAGGGGATTAAGACTTTTCAATGTATTTTTTTTCTAGGACACAGATCATTACATAGCACCATGCATTTTGACTCTGTGTCCAGTTATATTTTCGTAGCCCTCCTTTCACATTTGTATAGATTTTACAGATTACAAAGTCTATTCTCTATTTCTTGTAGACTTGTTTTATATACCTAATTCCACCTGATCTGCACAACAATCCTAGGAAGTAGATATTGTCTCACAGATGAAAAGTGAGGTTTAGAGAAGTGAAATGTTTTCTTTAAGGCCAATTGGACAATGAATGAAGAAACAAAGACTCAAATTCCATTCTTCTCACACCATATTCTATCCCTTTACTCTATACCATAAGCAAGGATCATTCTCCAGAGCATGCACATCCATTTGGCAAGCCCAGCTGCACATGTTAGAGTGGTGCTTACTTGTGAAGTATAATTTAAGCAATCATCAAAGATCTCTAGCTCTTTCTCATGAGTATGATACAACATGTAGAATTGTACATATTGTTTATTCTTTTGAGTTAAAGTATTAACCAAAGCAACTATTGTCTGAAGAGAAAATACAATTCTTATGAGACTTTATCTTAAACTTTAATTGATATTTTGAATCATGGTAAGGAGATAGAGCATACATATTTTGCTCAAGGTCTTTGTAGGCAAAGACAAGGAGATGAGGAGTAAAGATTAGGAGATGAAATAGTATGGATGGACTCCTGGCATAGTATGTAGAGTAGGGAATGGCAGGAGATGAGGCCTGAAGTGGGGCAGGAACATACTTGTAAGAAAGCCTATAGCCAGGCTAATGAAAGAATTTCATCTTCTGAACAAAGGGGAGCTAGAAAATTGAATGTATTTAGTGGCACAGTGACTTGACCGGATCTGCATCCTAGATAGATAATTGGTGTACTATGGAGGCGGAGGATTGGAGAAAGTGGATAGTAAAGAGGTTCTCAGAACTGTTTCGGCAAGGTAATACAAGCTAAACTGAGGAAATGAGAAAACACAGAAGGGGATGGTATCCCGCAGCAAAAATTAGAATTATTTGACTATTTAGCTATGTGGTATGAATGGGAGAGAAGAGTTCGGGATAAAGTTTCTTCTTGAGAAGTAGAATGAGCGATGCAGACATTTACAGAGTCAGAAAACAAAGACTTAGGGAGGAGGTGGGAAAGCTATGTCGGAGTTATGCTAAGTTTAAAGTGTGAGTAAAGCATCCAGTAGATGTGGCCAATTGATCATTAGGAATATGAACCAATTCAAGTGGCAAATTATTGGCATTTTTTGGCAATGAAAGCCACAAGCCATTTGAGTTGAAGGGTTCCTCCATACAGAATTGTAACTTCTCTCTGATATTCAGATATTAGCTGAGAGCTCCTGCTCTTTAAAATTTTAATGTGATTCCCAGCTCGTCATTGTTCATCCTATGCCAAGTACGAGCTTTCCCTAGGATTTCTGCTCATGTCTAGATTTCTTACATTCCTATAGTATGAATGCTTGCTGCTTCTGGATTATATCATTTTGTGGATTGATTGTCCCTATAGAATCTGAGACATGAACCTTGCTTCTTGCTCAATTTCTAAACTGGTTTTAAGATTTTACTGAGGATTTGAGGAAACAGGATAGGTTTTATAATTATAGTAATACAATTAATTTAAATTTAATTTTAGGCTTTTCTGTAAGTACAAATATTCTGGCCCGGGATATCTTCCCCATGACTGTATCACTTTATCCCCACACTCAAGTCTTGTGGTTAAACCCTCTCCTCCACCTGCTCCTCCTTGTCTTTTTCTCATCTCTTTTCTTCCTCCAGTCGCAGGTTGTCTTGGAGATTCCACACTCTCCTCGATTCTTATGCCAAACTATTCACCTCTCTTCTGGCCCTAAGGCTTAGCTAGTCCCATCAGACCAAGAAGGCTTTGTATTTGATAGCACCACCTTCTATAAAAGTTCATTGTTTTGGCAAATAACAACTTACCACCTCTCTTACATTCTTAAAAATGAGAGAGTTCTAGTGTATACACATAAGATTGTGTTCTCAACTATACCCCACTGCTGGAGTCCAGCTCCAGCTGGTCCAGGGGTCCCTGAAGGATGGATGGTGTCAGCAAGAGAGAGTGAGAGAGCCCTAAGATTCTTTCTGATCACCGGGCAGGCATCTCTGCACTGTCAGTTTTGGTGTCTTTATTTATAGAACAAATAATAACATGGCATCAGAAAATGGAATTTTTACAATGGATAGTTCTTTGTGATAAGACGCTTTGGAAAGTGTACAGAAACAGGTTTTACAGAAGTATTCTTGCAGAACTACCCCAATTATAGTGAGGTTGAGTAACTAAGAAAATAACAGGGTGTTCTTAGTGAAAAACAAGATAACATACACATTTTAATAACGCTAAGATTAAGTCATAGGTTAAGTTGTAGATACTCTTATCCATCCTCATCACAGCTGCCAGTGTGAGGGAAGGTGTTTGTGGAATGTAGACCTTAGGGAAGGGACTGCTATACATCATCAGTTAGCAAAGGTATATGTAGTAATGTTCTGCCCTTATCTGTTCCTTCTCTCTAAGTTAGGCTCTTTGTTTCTTGGTTAGACTTTATTTTTTAGTTTTATTCTTTATTTCATTGGATATCTAATTTTACCTTTATAGATTTTAGTTCATTTCCAATACATAGAATAGCCTCTTCGAGTGCATTTACCTTTGTGTCTAGTTTTTTGTCTATAATTTCTTGAATACCTAGGGCATGAGAAATATTTTTGGTTAGTTGATTTACATGTTGAGCTGTATGAACCTCTTGGACTAACAGAATGGTAGAAACTGAATTGTACATGTAAAGGTCAATCTTTTATGAGTAAGGGTCATTAGCCTGTTCATAGCTCAAGGGAAAGTATTTAGGAAAACAGGACCTGTCGGAGACATGATGTCTGCTCCCATAATCAAAAGAAGAAGTTCCCACAGTAAGTTCCTTCACAAGGTGCCGTCATCATACCAGGGCCAGAATAAGGGGACAAGTCACTCCCAATACCAATCAACAAGGTACCTTGGGGGTCAGTGCTCAAGCAGAAATAATTGAGTGAGGGTGCATATCAGTTGTCATCTGAAGGCAAGAGCCTTGCAAACTTGCCTTAACCTCACAAGGACCTTTCTTGACTAGTGGGCTCAGAATGGCCCCCAACACCCCAAAGAGGCCCCAGATTTTGAGGAGTCCCTGAGGACCCATTAGAGGTAGGGCAGGCAGGAGGGGACTGAGAATCAGCCAACTCCAATATTCTTTATTCTCACTACATCTTTAATGAAGGAAGCTTCATCTCTAAACTTTACATATTGGGCATGAAAGGAGCCTTCCCTTTCCTTCTTTACCTTCTGTTGTCTAGTTCTATATTTAGGAAGAGACTTTCCCATATAATATGCCTGCTTTGCATTTGGCCAAGAACCATACCCTGATTTTACCTGTGTAGGGAACAACCTTTGGGAAGTTAAGAAGAAAAATCTACTCAAGGAATAGATGACTTTCATTTTTCTCTCATACAGCATTTCATGCAGTTAGGTCTTTGCAAGTTATAGGTTGAACTGCTCTTTGGTACTTATGCTATAATACAGTATTAGTAAAGTAGGGTTTGTGGAAAGAAGGTCAAATAAGTTAGGGAAGTGCTGAAAATTATATATCTACATAACTCTTTCAAAAGATTCAATCTTTAGCATATAAAAGTCACTAACAAGCATTTTAATGAAGAATTCTGTTTAAATTGAACTAATACAATGTTCTGCAAACATTTAATGTTTTTTCAGATAACTTTTATTAACAGCCCATAGAATTAATTTTGAGAAACTGTCCTCTGTCATCTGCTCTAATTCAGAACTTTTCACTTGCTTCTGGCATACATATCTGGAATAGTAGGGCTGTGTCACTGTAAAGGTGGAAGAAAGAGGTGCCTGCGTGGTTCAGCTGGTTACGTGGTTACGAACCCCAGTCTTCATTTCGGCTCAGGTCATGATCTCATGGTTCAGGAGATCAAATCCTGCCTTGGGCTCTGTATAAAAGCCTGGCTGGGATTCTCACTCTCTCCCCCTCTCTCTGCTCCTCCCACTACTTGTGTGTGAGCTCAGTCTTTCTCTCTCTCTCTCTCTCTCTCAAAAAATAAATAAATAAACTTGATTTAAAAAAAAGAAAAGGGGAAAGAAAAATTTAAAAAGTAGAAATGCAGACCTTATAGGTAGAATCAACTTTATTTTTCCTCTCTAGTATTATGAAAATTACTTGCAAATGATTTGCAAATATATCTGAACCTGACCATCATGAATAGAGTTTGTCTCTGTGCTAGAAAGACCTCCTTGTAAACAAATTGCAATGCCTTTATTCTGCGCACGGTGTTCATGTGAAGCTCCTGGTTTTCTTTTTATTTGATTTGACATATTTCAGCCTTCTGTGTAAGGCTTATAGGAAAAGGTCATTGTCAGTCCTTGGATAGTAAAGATAATTTACTTAATTCTGAAAGAGTCAGTGAAAGAATACTTGACTCCCCAAGG